CCATACACCAGCTTGCCTCCTTCAACAATAACTTCATATTCTTCCCTTTCTTTCTTCGTTGGTACCACTACCACCATCAAAAAGGTGTATGAGATATATTAACAGCGGTTTTTAGGTAGACCCAGGCCAAATAAAAAGTGAATCTTTATAGCCAAGTTTGTTGGATATGAATCTATATCTTTTTTTTTTTTTGGGCCAACAATCTAGGTCTAATTCAAGCTTATGTTTATATATAAATATATATATATATATATTAGTGAGAACTCTGGTCCAAGATACTTCATGCACTGGCGTTGAAGTTTGGTCGTCCTTGGACATCTCTCAAGATTTACTTCTTTGCCTTCTCCAACGTCCAACCTAAACGTAATAAAAGCAGGAAGTTAGCCATCCAGATCCTTATTAGTTCCTGATCTACCGTCTTTCATGGTAAGTACAATGAAAAGATTAAATTTCAGAATGAGTGTTTACCAGTAGAAAAATCACTGGCTACTTTGGCTACTAAGCCAGACATCATAATAGAGGCGTAGATTGTGACTATATCGTTGAAGTGGGTCGATCTATGCAATAAACAAAAAGAAAGTAACATTGTCAACGCTTAATAGATATCAAATCTGTTGATCAAAAGCTTCAAGATCATAAAGAGTACTCTTCTTAACTGACGTTGGAATAATGGGTAAGAACAGAGAAGGCTTCAAGGTCTTACAGCTTCAAGCCAATGTCGCAGGGTCAGTCTTTGTGCATTTTCATGCTTGGACAAACCTTTTCCAACCTGAGTGAAAATTCAGTTCGAAGCTAGACCCAAAAAAAAAAACACTAATAGAGATATTATTGGTTAAACTCCACAGCAGTCCAGATTTTTTGTAATTATAAAGTAATTGGTGTGTATTCAGGGAAAGGTAAAGAAGAAAAGTAAGCCTCTTGCACATTCACACTTTTGTATTATTCTTTTTCTTGGATGATTTTATAAAGAGTCATATAGAACGCTGTTAAATAAATCATAGAAATTTCATAAAATGAATGAAATTCTATAAATTGAAATTAACAAAATTAAAATGATTTTTAACTGAGGTTGATTTCACGCGGTTTTTTCTTCTTCAATAATTCATCTCTTGTTACCACTGCTTCCCCACATGAGAGTCAGAGAGAGGAAATTGGGAAAGTAATCAACTTTTTAGCAACAAGCCAAAAGCATAGCAAGAAGCTGTCATACTATTTGATTTACCACGATAAGAATTAGCTTTTTAAAAGTGATTCTAAGTAAATATATGAGAAAAATTTTGTCTCAACTTGTATAAAAATACTTATTTTAAGTGTTTTTTTAAGGTTTTCAAACACCACGTGATATGTAAAATCACGCTACTTGTTAACTCAAGATACGTTTAACATGTAAAAGAGGTTGCTACATGTTCAAAATGAACTAGTTCTCATTTCAGTATCAGTACATATTTTAAACAAGGTAATGCTGATTCATCGTGAATCTTTAAGTAATTAGTGTGTGTGTGTGTGTAGACAGAGAAGAGTGGAGATGCAAAAGTACGAAAAACATTAATTTGTTAGAACGCCAGGCCATTGCAAGGACGAGATTAGTAATTAAAAAAAAGGTTTGTGTGTGAGCATATAAAGAGCGTGTGGAGATAAGAACGAGTAATATATACTTGCCACTTAATTGGGTTATATGTTCAGAATGAAACAGTTTCGTCACTTTTCTGCTTATCAATATTTTATATCTAATGTGTTTGCATGTTATTACGTTATTTTTTACTATTCATTAACGTGACTGATTACTATTGCTTTTTAAAATTAATAAATCTGAATCTTTATGCAAATACTTGAACTAAGACTATCTTAATATACTTTCCGTTTAATATGGGGAAAAAAAATTCATAACCATATTTAAGAGTCATGAATAATGAATAATACAAGTCCTATCAATGGGTAAAATGAAATGGAAAGCTGATTATAATGCAAGGGCCAGTTCGCTCTTTCTAAGTTAGAAAAAGAAACAAAGGGGGAAAAAAACAAGAAGAGAAATGGATAAACTACTGCATCAGAATATTATCATTGCACGACTTCGAATAAGTGAATATGGTGCATGAATAGTAGAGGAGATACGCGAGAACGAGTGCAGGCTTGGCGAATCGAATCAATATCGTCTAGATGAGATCAAATGGTGCATGAGTGGCTGAGATTCCGGTCGTAGCAAGAAACCTGACCACCTGGGCTATTCAAATGGATCCATCGACCTCGATCGCCAGCGGTGCAAGTGGGAGACAAGCCTTCAGACGGTGCCCTTAAATGAGCTACCAGAATTTGCAGAATTTTACCCTAAAAATATAAAGACAATCAAATCTACAAGTCAAAATCGGAAATTTCAGTAAAGGGTACTCACCTGCATGGCTGTTGCTAACATCGACGGTGCCCTTAAATGAACTACCAAGCAAGACGCCGACGACACGTTTGCGCGTGTCCTTGGCGACCCGATTGTAGTTATCGACGATGCTGAGAAGAACCAGAGGATGCACAATGACCTGGATGAAATTTGCTGAGATTTTATCACGTCCGTCTCAAAAGTGTCAGATTTCTCGCTCTCGCCTCCTAAGCCCTTCTGGCCTTCTCTTTCCCTTCTTCCCGTCGGCCCCTGTTCTATTTCTATTTTCTACGCGCACTTAAAAAAATTCAAGTTATAGCTCTAGAGCTCCGCTTTTAAGCTTTACACCCAAAAAAAGAAAGGTTTTCAAAAAAAAATTTTTTAGCGGTGAGGATAAATTTCAAAAATAAAAATAAAAATAAAATATTGATGATAAAATTATTTTTTAAAAAGTGTCTTTTTCGTTTCAAACACATTATACTTTTATTTAAAATAAGGCCTAATTTTGATAACAAATATCCCACGGATCAAGAGTAGTAAGGACATTTTAGAGTATAAAAATCGAGTCAAATCTTTTTCTTGGGTGATAAATAAGCGCTTTAAAATTTTTTTCCTTAAAAACCAAATTAAATGCTTTTACATTTTACAATAACAATCAACAAGGGGGGGAAAAAAACAATAGCCACAAAACCTGTAGCTCAATTCTAATCCTCATAATCACAATATTTGGACCCATTAGTATATGTTGACGATTCTTCAAATTCTTAACCGTTACTGGCGGGGCAAGTTTTGAAATCTTGATCGGATTCCAAACTAGAGATCATCTTCATGCCAATCTTGCTTCTCTTTAGTGCTACATCCCGTCTTTAATATAAAATCTTATTTGACTTTTATTTTGATCATAAATATAAAACCTCAATCCACTTTGTTTTTTATATTTATGTATTTTTTTTCAAAATAATCTTTCTAATAATGGTAGTTCTAGCCAATACACTTGATTAGTAAGGATATTTTAGAAAAAACAACACATATTTATTACAAATAACTAACTTAACATATTTTTTTAATCTTCTTAAATTTGTTAACTAACTCTTATAACTAGGATTTGAGGTAGTATTTATCTAAATTGGCTGAGATATTCCTTTGTATTCTTGCCTCCTCTGCAAGTCTTTTTATCTACAAGAACTCAGGACTGCTTTACTTGCCTGCCAATGGAAATGTCAGAGGAAAGTTTGACATTCTTCAATATTAGCCTTCGAATTTTTTACTGTTTTACATGAGAATGACCATTGTCGCTTACAACATGGTATACCATACCCATATGCACACATTTTACAACAAAAAGTCGTTAACCTCGGATCTCATAATTCCTTCACCCTAATAACCAGCATCCAACCAACTCGGGACCTTATAAGCTTATAATCACTATGCACATTCAACCTGAGTTGAACAACATACAAAATACTGAAAATAGCACTGCCGTTGATCTCACTTCGCTCAGCGAAATTGCACTTCGGCATTTGTATAGCAATTCTACAAGTTTCAGCACTATGTTTTAGTCTCCACAAACATTTCTTTCAGAAGTGTCAGAAACCACATAGCAAAAGAGAACTGTGAGCTAGTAATGTAAAATATAGGATGCTGCCAGTGTTTTAGCCTTCGGTTATCTAGGAAACAAAAAGGGGCGTGGTAGATCACCGCTGATAATGAAATCAACTCTTGAAAATTTTCAGAGAAGGAATGACTTGATATAAACCAACAGATGAATGAAAACCGGCTCCCTGAATTTTTAGATCAGCAGTTACCATGCACGAAACTCTCTAAGAGCAGTTGCACTTTAGAGGAGCTCAATCCTGGTTACCTAACATCCTAGTAAAACAATGAGTTTGAATAACTTAATCAAGATCGCATCTTAAGAACTTTTTGGCATGTACAATGGCAGCAGAACGGGTTAAGCTAAGATCCCAAACATCTGTTCACCTGCAAAGCATACTTCTTCGAACAATGTTTGTCTACGACCTAGTTTCAAAAGGAGAAGAAAAAAGGTCTAGTTACTGGAACTTTACATAACAAGAAAGCTTAGCTTGTATACTGTAGCCACCAAACTACCAGAGCTCTAATAAGGAAAGATTCTGGTCATTCAATAATACTTCAGAGAGCAATCTGTGAGTAGTCGTACGAAGACAAACCCTGTCATCCCTCCCTGCCAATGATATGCTCATGTTTTAAAGTTTAGCATATTGATTCACAGTTCCAAATAGTGGTGTGCTAAACTAGAATGGAGTAGTATTTATATTATGCTAAAATAGAGTAGTATTTTAAGCAATTAATAGACCAGAAATGACTTCAATTTCTGGTTCCATAAAAAATTGTCCCATTCACAAGCTTTACGTTTGCTATCTGGGCCTAATACAAGCGTCTTCCTTCCTGTATTCAAGTTTGGAGCTGGCTATGAAATATTGGCAGAGATATAAAGCAAATATCATCGGGGACAAAGTATCTTGTAAGTATAAAATCATCGGTGACACGCTGATAGAATTCGAAGCCATACCAAAAATTGCAGTTTCCAGGGAGGAAAAGTCTCTGGCATAATGCAAAAGGGTCTGTTGTAAAGTAGGGTGACCACGCTCAACTAAATAAAGCCGGTTTGAGACCAAATTCTCATAGCCATGACAATTCCTTCATCACAAAACTGAAATCGAGCCAGAAGAACAAGAACTCTCCCATACTTCAATACCTTCAACCTCTTCTCTGCTAATAAACAACCTGTTCCCACCACCATCGATCTGCTTAATAATCCCCCCCTCTCTGAATTCTCTATTTTATCCACGAAATTTCTTCTATACAAACCCTCAGCATCTCCACCAGCTATTTCTGCACCATTTTTCATCCCTTCGAGTCTGGACCAAACCTCTAAATCACCCTCTCTCCCGACAAACGCCTGCTTCCTGTAACAATGAATCACACTGCTGCTAACTCTCCCGGTGTTCACCAAGCTTGGGTTCCTTTCTTGCAAATAAATCCACGGATCCTCTTTTAAATGCCGCATGCCCGCCATTGCCAAATCCCCGGATTGAGAGCAGAGCTTGAACAAAGCCAAGCCTTCCACGTCGACGTCCACGCGCGCAAACGAATCCCCAAACCTACTGCTTCTACCTGCACCCGGCTCATTCGTCTCCCACACCACCTCGCCGGAACGAGGGTCCCACAATCTGATGTAGCCAGAGTATCCAAAAGCCCCGCTCGTAACTGCACTTCCGACAATCACGCTGGTCTGGGGTACCCACGTCAGCTTCCCAGGAACCGTATGCTTAGCCTGATTACCAGATTGTCTAGCGAGCTGAGACACGATCTGAAGCTTTGTTTTATCTACTTCAAGGACACAATTCTCTCTGTGCGGGCAATCAAACGCCGCAAAAATGGAACTCTCTGAGCCAGCTATTGCGTTCACTCGGGCCTTGAAGATACGGGGATCAGAAGGATCAGTCCACTGAACCGTCCCGATGTTGCGCCCATCGGAGAAATCGTAGAAGTGCAGTCCCGCGTTGGATTCTGACCCTATAGCCGCAATTTCGGGCCAGACACGGCAAATCGAATCAATTTCGTCTAGATGAGTTCGAATGGTGCATGAGTGGCTGAGATTCCAGTCGTAGCAAGAAATCTGACCACCGTGGGCTATCCAAATGGATCCATCGACCTCGGCGGCGGTGAAAGTGGGAGACAAGCCTTCGGACGCCGGTCGAATTGTTGCGGTGGTAGAGGCATCGATCCCATCCAACGGTGACGGAGCCATGGCTGACCTGAGTTGGGCGTCGATGCCGTAGTAAAGGGCTTCATCGGCGAGTTCTTGCTTGGAGAAACGACGAGCTGTGGAGGGAGCTGCTTGGTGCGGAGGAGAGAGGGGAGGACGGAGAAGATCTCGGGGTCGCGGTCAATGAAAACAGGGTGGTTATTGCTGGTGTCAAGGAGGGAGAGGGCGGTGAGTAGGGAATCCGAACCACCGGAACGAAGTACGGCTAGCGTCGTCTCGAAGAGCTTCCCGCCGATGTTGAGCTTGATACGGTCGTCCGGAGAGGTCACATAACTAGAGGCAGAGGTTGCCACATCCATTGAGAGAGCACCACGAAGATAGTCCAAAGCTTTTGACCAGCTTGGAAAATGGAAATCTGGGAAATAATGATCTCTAAATTAACTTCTCAGAATCGAAACGAAACGATGCGTTCCACTGGTTGGTTCACCAATTATATCCTGCATTCTTAGAACGACGGTGGGACAACGCTGGACCTTTTCCGAAACATTCCCAACGATGTAACAGAGTTGGTATCTTTGGCTTCGTCTCCCTCATCGTTTTCCCTCACATCTGTTTTTCTCCTCTGCCGTTTATTTTCAATCTCAGCTCCAAGACTACTCATAGATCATATAGAAGAATTTGTGACAGTAAATATGATTGAGTTGTACACAGAGAACATCCTACTTCTGTTAATGAACCAAATAAATTTTCCCCGCAGTCAGTACAATTAGCACAATCTGTTTTGAACCCTTTCTTTTTCCTAGAATTTTAGAGTCTTCTCGCTGTCAAGTCCTGCAAATGAATTTATGATGTAACCTGAGGCTTAAGGCATGAAAGGGTAAATACCCATTTATTTAGTTCATCAACATTTGTAATTGTAAATTTGTAAGCAGTAATATGAAGAAGCTTCTCACTGGCAAGCAGAGGAATGTCAATCAGCCTGCCCTACTCGCAAAATTTCGAAATTGGAGTAAGTTTCTAGTTCTTCATTTGAAGATGAAGATGAGGGTCTGAGCTATGTCCAACCTTACCTCTTGTGATGTGGATATGAGCTAACCCGAACAGGCTGAGGTTTTCTTACTAATAACTTATAAATAGTACAGAAAAATTCTCCACATGCCATATGGTCGGAATTATATTCCTAGATGATATTGTTAAAATTGCAGCCGGAGGGGGCATTATCCGGAATTCAAGAGGTGAATGGCTCCTGGGATTTCAGAGGAAGCTAGGAATGCTGCCACCTACTTCGGCAGAGCTAATGGCACTGCTAACAGGACTTAAACTGTGTAAATCTCATGGCTATACTAGTGTAGTCTCACATACCGACTCTTTGGAACTCTTCCATTTAATAATGTTTGAAGGTGGAATTAATCACCCACATTGGGCGGAGATCAATGAGGTCAGAGAACTACTATATTCCGATTGGGATATATCATTCACGTATGTCCCCCGTTGAGCTGTACATTGTGCAGATTTCTTGGCAAAAGGGGCACATCATATCCAGGAGAATATGGTGGTGTCGTCACAACCACCTGATGACTGCTTGGCTCATCTGCAAGCTGATATGGAGTAGCTCCTGGGAGTTTCTTGTACTTTGATCATTCAAGCTTAGCTTGCCCTCTTGTATTTAAAAAAAAATTAACAACATTAAAATGATTTTTAACTCAGGGATTGATGCCCATAACATAGATTATAAAGGGTTCAATTCAAGCAAAATAAATTAGAAACACCTGATCGAAAATAAAAATAAACTAAACACCAGTGAATTAATTTTTGCCAAAAAAAACAGAGAGAGAGACAGGCCAACCCTGGGCAAAGGATCACAAAGAATCGAAGATGGGATACAGATAAGATGTGTTTAATTCCTCAAATATAAGGGTTCAAATTCTAGTCGCCGAAAAAGGATTCCAATTCCAGAAGCAGAGTATAGCAGAGATTGTACAAAGATTTTTGTTACAGGCCGAAGCAAATAAAAAAGAAAGATAAAAAAGACATAATAACCTCAATCAAATGCCCCCTTTCCCACACCGAATGCCCAGAATCGCTGCAAGTCACAAGAGGATCATAACTTGGAATTAGGCTTTTGGGATTCACGCGGTTTTTTCTTCAATAATTCATCTCTTGTTGCCACTGCTTCCCCACATGAGAGTTACATAGAGAGGAAATTGGCAAAGGAATCAACTTTTTAGCAAAAGGTCAAAAGCATAACAAAGCTGTCATCCAGACTATTATCTAAATGAAATGGTGTTTATCACCATGAGGATTAGCCTTTTAAAAGTAATTTTAAGTAAATATATGAGAGAAATTTTGTCTCAACTTACATAAAAATACTTATTTTAAGTGTTTTTTAGGGTTTATAAACTCCCTGTTATGTATAAAATCAAGCTACTTTGTTAACTCAGGATACATTTAACATGTAAAAGAGGTTGCTACATGTGCAAAAGGAACCAGTTCTCATTTTAGCATCAATACGTATTTTAAACAAGGTAATGCTGATTCATTGTGAATCTATAAGTAACTAGTGTGTGCGCGTGCGCGCGTGCATAGAAGATTAGTACACAGAAGCAGTCATCCTTGACGGAAAAACATTAATTGCAAGGCCGAGATTAGTGACTAAAAACTATGAGGATGGCATGTAAAAACTGTTTGTGTGTGAACATATAAAGAGTGTATGGAGATAAGAACAAGTAATATATATTTGCCTCCCGAGCCACTTAATTGGGGTTAGATGTTCATAATGAATGAAACAGTTTCGTCATTTTTCTGCTCATCAATAATTTTATATAGAATGTGCATGCATACTATCACGTTATTTTTCACTATTCATTAACGTGACTACTATTGCTTTTTAAAATTAATAAATCTGAATCTTTATGCAAATACTTGGAACTAATGAGACTACCTTAATATACTTTCCGTATAATATAGGGAAAAAAAAGAAAAAAGAAAAATCATATCATATTTAAGAGTCATGAAGACAAATCCTGTGAATGGATAAAATGAAATAGAAAGCTAATTATAATGCATGGGCAAATTTTATTGTTCGCTCTTTTGAAATTAGAAAAAGGAACAAAGCTGAGTAAGAGAATAAAGGAAATTAAAACTAAAAAAGAAATGGATTAACTACTGCATCAGAATTATCATATTGCATGGCATTAATTAAACAAGTGAACATGGAGCATGAAAAGTATGGGAGATCCGTGAGTATAAGAGTAGGAGTGCAGGCTTGGCAAATCGAATCAATTTGGTCTAGATGAGTCCGAATGGTGCATGAGTGGCTGAGATTCCAGTCGTAGCAAGAAATCTGACCACCGTCCTCTATCCAAATGGATCTGTGGACCTTGGTGGCGGTGAAAGTGGGAGACAAGCCTTCAGACGCCGGTCGAATTGTTGCGCTGATAGAGGCGTCGATCCCATCCAACGGTGGCGGCGCCATGGCCCACCTGAGTTGGGCGTCGATGCCATAGTAAAGGGCTTCATCGGGAAGTTCTTGCCCGGAGAAACGACGAGCGGCAGAGGGGAGCGGATTGGGGCGGACGGTCGAAGAGCTTCCCGCCGACGTTGAGCTTGATAGGGTCGTCCGGAGAGGCCACATAATCAGAGTCAGAATTTGCCACATCCATTGAAAGAGCACCACGAAGATAGTCCAAAGCTTTTGACCAGCTTGGACAATGGAAATCTGGGAAACAATAATGGGAAAATTTCATTTTACAGCTACTGTATCTAATTAATATCGGTCGACCTTAAAAATGTTTTTAAAATTTTAGTCAACCTCCTTAGACAAAAATAAAATTAAAAATTTAAGGGTAAAAATACAATGATTCCCTTCCTTTTGATTTTTTCAAAAAATAAATATTAATTATCGTCAGAACTTCAATCAGAGGGTCGATCACTAGCTAGCTTTTGTTTTTTTTGAAATACAGTAGCTAAGGAGGGTTTGAACTCATGATCACCAAAAATAGTATGACCATCAAACTAATCAAGCCATTTAATCATACGACATAAAGTAAAATATATACAAAAAAATAAATGCAAGTATCCAAGTATAAATAAACAATTAAAATTTAACAATTTACAAGGGAAATTTAGTGATTTACAGGAAATATAAGGGAATTTACAATCATATATGTAAATGTTTAAGTATGAATAAGTAAGTGAAATTTGAAGATTTGTAACAAAAATTTATTGATTTACAACTCAAATTTGGCAATTCATAAAAAATATAAGAGAATTCACAACTCTAAATATAAGTGTTTAAATGTGAATGAATAAATACAATTTAGCAATTTATCGCAAAATTCAGCGATATGCAACCCAAATTCAGCTATTCATAAGAAATATAGACATTACAAAACTTATAAGAAAATTCATGACCTCAAATACAAATGTTTTTGTTTCTGAATTAAAATGAAATTTTCCTAATAATAATCTCTAAATTAATTAACTCGTCAAAATAGCAACAAAACGATGCGTTCTACTCGTTGGTTCACCAATTATCTTGCATTCGTAGATTGACTGTGGGACAATGTTGGACTTTCTCTGAAAATATTCCAAACGATGTCACAGAGTAGGAATCTTTGGCTTTGTCTCCTCCAACGTTTTCCCCCAGATCTGCCTTCTATTTTCATTCTCAGCTGCAAGATGATGTCATATGGAAGAATTTGTTTTAATACTCCATCCAGTTCAAAATAGGAGTGTAAGATAAATTTTGTTGGAGGGACTTAATTTTTTTATAAGATAATATTTATTTTTGTCTAGGCATTTAATAAATTTTTTCTAATTTTACCCCTAACATATTTTTTTTCTCCTTTTTGATTCATTTATTGCATCTTTTACTTATTCTCTTTATTAATAAGGGCATATTTAGAGAAAAAAATCATGTCTTCCATATTTATTGTTTTAAATTAATTTTAACTAATTTCCTGATAAACGTGAATGATAAAATGTATCTTATATTTTGAACCAGAAGGAGTATAATGAAGTTATACTTCTATTAATTAACCAAATAAGTATTCCCGGGTGTCAATACAATTAGCACAATCTGTTTTAAACCCTTTCTTTCTTTAGAATTTTAGAGTGTTCTCGTTATATAGTCCCGCAAATGAATTTATGATGTAGTATGAAAGTTAAGGCATAAATACTGATTTATTTGGTTCATCGACTTTTGTAATTGTAAATTTGTAAGCAGTTATATGAAGAAGCTTCTCATAACTGCAAAGCAGAGGAACGTTGATCAGCCTGCACTGGTTGCAAAATTCCGAAGTTGGAGTGAGTTTGTGGTTCTTCATTTTAAGATGAGGGTCATCTGAACTACGGGTGG